GGAAAAAGCAGGTCTGGCAAACTGAGTAAATATGATGCTGAAAAGCATGTTTCTATTTTGAGCTATCAAAATATGCTGATCTAGACTCTGGTCCCTTATACATTATTTACCTGCACGCATACACACACAAGCACACACACATGCACACACGCAGTCCCTAGTGAATCTTTGTACCTCTGGATACCCTCTTTAGCTAAACAAACAAACAAAAAAACCCCTCAAAGTGACTCCAGTTTAATTCAGCCATTCATTATATTTTGGGGAAAAAAATGAATAATCTTTTGTTTTATGATGCCCTTCAGGGTCTGTCAGACCAGGATTAAGGGCAGATTCCTCTATTGAGTGCCTGCTGGAGGCTCCCTACTAAACACACTGGTTAACCAGAGCACTTCTAATTCCAGCATCTGAATTCAGAAGATTCACATTAGTCTTATCTCAGGTGCTGTATTTGTTCTGTGGCTGAATGCTGCCAGCCCCCTCCTTTGCCAGTAGTTCACATTTCAGATGGACCACATTTCCACAAGAAGTATTAGAGGAAACTAAAGTGGCCTATTATCAATTGTGTCCAAATAACAACTGCCTTCCCCTTGCATGGCAAAACGGAGAACTCTCTGAACCACGCAACAGGATCAGTCCTTCAAGCATGGCTGGTAACAGGACTTGGATCTTGGACTCCTGTTCAATATGTGAGTCATAAGGACCAATACATCCCCTTGCTCCACCTTGGAAGGTTACAAGATAGATACAGTGCAGCCAGGCTTCTAGGCTTTTCTGCCCATGGAAGGCAGATATAGCTGGATTGAAAAAGCATTTGCAGAACTTTCCTCAAAGTGGTTTTTGAAACGAGCATGTACTGCCTGTCTCCCCAAGGGCCATTGCTGGGCATGTAGGTGGACCATAGCCATAGCTAAAGGCCCTCACTTTTACCAGCTCCTACTGACCCATGCCAGGGTGTTCAAAGAAGCACAGGTCTTACCTGTGCTTCACACCAGTGCCTCTTTCTTCATCTTGAACTCCGACCTCTGCCTATGTTGGGGGAGTAAAGATTCTGTCCTAAACTATAACTGGGGGTGCACTTTAAAAACATTATCTAAGTTCACTTTCATGCTTGTTTCAGAACCATTAGCAACTCTGAAGGATGCCTACTATGATGTGACTTTGAAGCCACTAGACGAAGTTTGGCAAGAAAAAACAGAGCAGTATATGAAGAAAATCCAGGCTTTTGTGCCCAATATTGTAAAAGATGTTTGGCTTATGGAACCAATCCAGGTGGCACTCAGAGCTCTGAAAACAAGCCTGGATATGGTTAGTATAAAATAATTCTTTATTTGTATAAAGGGGTGAAGATGTAACTTACAGATTGACACCCCTATTTTGAATTAAAGAGCCTTTTTATATGCAGGTTTGGGTCTCACCCAGGTTGACTTGCTTTTCATACTTGGAAATTAAGTATTACAAATAGCTTCCATTCCATTTTCTAGTTCTGGCAACATTAACGTGCAATTATAATCTGATTCAAGGTTTTGTCTGCTCTACCTGGACATTGAAAGCCACATTTTTCAAAGTGCTGTCAAGCTAAATCCTAATGTTGCAGTGAAATGTCTAAATGTCATTTTTGTGCACATAAATTGTCTGGTTGACTCCCATCTTGATGGTTTGTGTCTACACATCTAGAACTACAGGTTTGGGGTTTTTGCTGCTTTTGAAAATTAGGTCCCTGTTTCAGAAAATAGAGCAGCATGTCCTAATGTCTCTGGCCAAAATTACAGTGCTAGCAACATTTTTGAAACCTTCATGATTGCCGCCCTCCCACCCCAAAGGGATTCCTATACATGTTGAGTTTGTAAATATCTCTGGTCTTTTAGTTCACTGTCCTTTTTGAGGTCATCTGTGCTGTGATAGCAGTGGGCACATCTACATGTGCATTTTACTATGCAGTAGACTAATTTACTGCACAGTAAAGTGTCACCATCTACACATGTGCCACAATTAGGGTGCTTTAGATTAATTTCCTCTGGTGTAGGATGGCCCCATCAGATGCAGGTACTATCCGATGATGGAGTAGATTACTGCACTTAAACGCACGTGTGGATGGCGTGGTCGGGATTAGTTTCTTCTGGCTCAAATTGCACTAGAGTTTATTCAGTCTCACTAATTGCACATGTGGACACACCCAGAGTCTAGTAATGGAGATCTAAATCCTATCCTTTGCTTCAGCAACTGTAGTGTATCAACTCCCTGAAATTAGCTATTGCATGAGGGATACATCATCTAATATACATCTGTCTGTATTTTCATTTGCCATCTTGCTCAATTACACCAAATAGCTGTCAGGCACATGGCCAATGTGAAGGAGAATGGAGCATCATTTTTCTGAAGAATTGTCTGATATTGCAGCAAAAATCTTGTCTTGCCCTAAAACCACATTAATGTAACAGCTACTTTTATCATGTGGTCTGTCACTTGAGTAGGCAACCCATCAGATGCTAAGGTGGGCAGAAGCAAAGTTGTCCCAAGGTGTGAGCAAGATCTGGAAGCCCTTATCAAGCCTGTACAGCTTTTCAACCAGGTAATAATTTTGGATTAACTCTATTCTGTGGTATAGCACTTTCTTCAGCACATAATATTTTCTTAACACGTTCTCACAAATTTGCTTTTTAAGTCAACTTCCCTGATTAGGAAAGCAAGCATCCCATGTTCTGGGCAGTCTTTATACAAAGTTATCTACTGTAATGGGCTGTTTATTTCCTGCTTAAAAATAAATATCTACCAGCAAATAGAATAGTAGTCTTGGTAAACTCAGCCTGAAATAGCACATTGCTTCTGCGTTTTAGAGTTATTATATATCATTATAAATATAAATATTATATATTAATGATATTATATATTGATATATATATTATATATATAATATAAACAGGGGAGCTGTTGGGAAGGTCAAGGCGAAGATGGAACTGGGACTAGCAACCTGGATCAAGGACCATAAGAAGTCCTTTTTTAAATACATAGGGGGTAAAAAAAAGGTTCCGGGTAACATAGGGCCTCTGCAGGACACACTAGGAAGTCTGGTGGTCGCACCAGACATCAAAGCTAACTTATTTAACAACTTCTTTCCCTCCGTTTTTCGGAGCGGGGGCCAGGTCATCCCCCCCCATCATGATCCCTGACAGTCCCAGGGGAGGCGCAGCTAGGCCCAGGGTCGGAGTGGACCTAGTCAGGGACATCTTGGTGGGACTGGACACATCCAAATCAGCAGGTTCTGATGATCTCCACGTCAGAGCACTGAGGGAATTAGCAGAGGTCATTGCGGGTCCCCTGCCACAGCATTACGTGCACTCGTGGTGCTCTGGCGAGGTGCCGGAGGACTGGAAGAGGGCCAGTGTGGTCCCCATTTTCAAAAAAGGGAGGAAGGAGGACCCAGGAAACTATAGGCCTGTTAGTCTCCTATAGGCCTGTTAGTTACCCCGGTCCTGGGGAAGCTCTTCGAGAAAATGATCCTGGAGCACATCTGCGAGGGACCAGCAGGAAAGTGCATGCTTAGGGGCAACCAACATGGGTTCATCAGAGGCAGGTCCTGTCAGACCAACCTGGTGGCCTTCTATGATCAGGACACTAAATCCTTGGATACAGGCATTGCGGTGGACATAATCTTTCTGGATTTTAGAAAAGCCTTCGACACTGTCTCTCATCCCTTTCTCATTAAAAAATTAGGCGACAGTGGTGTCGATCCCTACATGGTCAGATGGGTCACCAATTGGCTGGAGGGCTGTACTCAGAAAGTGGTGGTGGATGGGTCTTTTTCAACCTGGAAGGATGTGGGCAGTGGGGTTCTGCAGGGCTTGGTCCTCGGGCCTGCACTGTTCAACATCTTCATCAGCGACTTGGATGAGGGGGTGATTAGCACCTTGTTCAAATTCACAGATGACAATGAGATGTGGGGGGAGGTGGGCATGCTAGAGGGGAGGGACAAGCTGCAATCAGATCTGGACACATTACAGGGGTGGGCAGATGAGAATAGGATAGGTTTCAGCACTGACAAATGCAAGGTACTGCACCTGGGGAGGAAGAACCAGCAGCATACCTACAGGCTGGGGAACTCCCTTCTCATCAGCACAGAGGCAGAAAAGGATCTTGGAGTCATTATTGACTCAAAGATGAACATGGGCCACCATGTGGGGATGCAGTCAGAAAGGCTAACCGCACCTTGTCATGCATCCACAGATGCATCACAAGCAGGTCCAAGGAGGTGATCCTCCCCCTCTATGTGACCTTGGTCAGACCTCAGTTGGAGTACTGCATCCAGTTCTGGGTGCTGCACTTCAGGAGGGATGTGGACAACATCGAGAGGGTCCAGAGGAGGGCCACTCACATGATCAGGGGGCAGCAGGGCAGGTCCTATGAGGATAGGCTATGGGATCTGAACCTGTTCAGCCTCTACAAGAGGAGGCTGAGAGGGGGTCTGGTAGCCGTCTATAAAGTGGCCAAGGGAGACCAGCGGGCAATGGGCGAGTCCCTGTTCCCCGAGACTACCGGGAGTAACAAAGAACAATGGCCATAAGTTGACGGAGAGTAGATTCAGGCTAGATATCACAAACCACTACTTCACAGTCAGGGTGGCTAGGATCTAGAACCAACTTCCAAGGGAAGTGGTCCTCACTCCTACCCTGAGGGTCTTTAAGAGGAGGCTGGATAGACACCTTGCCGGGGCTGTCTTTCCCCCCCATGGCCGGGGGTCAGACTTGATGATCTGCTCAGGTCCCTTCCAACCCTACTAACTATGAAACTATGAAACTATTTTTGCAGTTGTAATGCATTTTTCTCCATTTTTAGATGAGTAATACATAAAGTGCACTGAATATCTTTTAATGCCAGTGAGATCACAAGTGAATCATTTGTGCCCCACAGGAATTGTTCAGTGGCAGTGAACCTGCCGGTTTTACCCAAAGGAGAACACTCTATGGATTTGGCAAATATTACTAACTACCTCATTGAAGAAAAGCTAATGAGGCCCCTCAGAGACTTCTATAACATCAACCCAGTAGCAGAATACTACAGATTCAAACGGAGGATGATGGAGAGTCCATTTGAATGCAAGTCTTTTGATGAAAGTTCTGTTTTTCTTAGGAGTCCCATTTCTGCTGAGTTGCATGAACTTCTAACCACTCCTTAGTAGACAACAGAGCTTCCAGAAGTGGTTGTTTTCTATAGCTCCTGGATCTGGGCAGTATTTGGAGGGCATTAAGATGGGGTTTCAACGGCATAATTTTCAGAGGTGCTTTACATCTACAGTTCCCTTTCACTTTAAAAGGAGTTGCCTACTTGGTGCTTGTGGAGCAAGAGAATCATTTCCTGTTCTATTTCTGATATTGCTGAACTTTCTCTGAGACAGACACTTATCATTTATTCATGTTTCTAATACAAGAATATGCATATATATTTAGCACTTGTATTTTAAATAGAGATCAGCTCATGTGCAAACTGTGGATCCTCATTTCAGATCTCCCAGTTTCAGAACTTCTGAATCCTGGCTAATATAAAAAATGATAGATTTTTTTTCCTGCTAAAAATTCACTATTATGGAAAAGCTTATAACTGGCTTAGAATCTATATACTGATGATTATCTTAGAAAAGTCTCCTGAGAAGTAATAGGCTGTTCTGACACTGATATAGTGCACTGCTCTGTGCACAGTTTAGTGACACTGCTCTTATATATGACTTTCTCCAGATCATGCTGTGTTGATGGGGAACAAACATGTTATGACTTTTGATGGAAGGATTTATGATCTGGCATCAAAGTGCAGTGTGCTTCTTGCCAAGGATTTTGTTCACAGCACCTTCACTGTAGTGCTGAACCAGGAGACCAGTGGCTCAAGATCACTCTATGTGGAGATGAACCAGGCAGTGTTTGATCTGTACCCAGGACTGAAGGTGGGAGGAGATATTCAAGTTTAATTGCAAAATAATGAAATGTGTTCTGGAAATTGCATTGTTGGAGCTGTTTGTTCCCGCATCTCTAAACCAATAAGGGTAATCTATCCAGTTCATTGCTTTCCCTCTAGCATGCACGTCTGCCACTGTGGGAGACAGGCCTATTTGTTGAGTCTGCTTGGAGACATGAGCAGAGGAGTGATAGGAAAAAACCCCACTGTGGGAGACAGGCTACAGGGCTAGATGGACCACTGATCTGACCCAGTATAGCACTTTGCCTTCTTATAGTCTTATAACAGAAAGAGCAGTATTGAAATCATTATATTTTGACAATGAAGCCAAGCACCAAATGTATCACTTTTCCAGACTTAGCATAAATCGGGGCTTATAGACCTGTCATGTATCAGCAAGCAGGACTAATTCTCAAAAATAAGAGCTAATACTGGTAAGTGTGGACAATATCCTGCCTCGCTCCTGGATGCAGGAAATGCAAGAAGGCTTAAGGAAACTTACCCTTTCTTCTTGCATGGGCACTATGATGCCAGGAAGATTTACAGTACTTGTGTTCTGGGTAATAAACTCAGCGTACCTGGGTGGCCTTGTGCCTTTCTGCCCCAAAATGGGGCAGTTCATAGATGGCACTGCCCAGCCTGCACACACTGAGCTAACCAGCCTGTGACCAGAAATAGTACTTTCCAAATAAGTCAGATTTCTGGCATTTGACATTACAAACACCAATGGGGATTTTAGGAGTATCAGTTCTTTGTAAAACCCTGCCGAATATTATTTACTTGGAGATTTTTTTTTTTCATTTTAACAGATGTCCAAGGTGTACAATCTTTCCCTGGCGGAAGAGAGTTGCCAAAGTCTTGATTTTGATCTGTCTTTTGAAAAAAATGGCGTAATTGCAAGAAAAGAAGCTAATACAATCGAAGTGTCCAGTCAGAATGGAGTTTCTGTCTCCTGTGACTTTCATCATGACCTCTGTACCATTACATTGAGTGGATGGCATCATGGTTAGTATTAAACACAATCTTAGCAACACTTTAATTGGACCCTTCTGCTTCTAGCTCGTTTTTCCTCTATCTCTGATGTCTAGAGACCTCAGTAACTAGATTAAAAACTGCCCTCACCTGCCCTTCCCAGTTCATTTCATACTAGCCCTGGTGATGGCACCAGACATTCCTAGTTAATGTGACATGAAATAAATCCATGTAGTAAAACCACAAATGTTTACATAAAGTTCCTGTAACTTTAGCTGCCTCTTAATGCAACCCATGGTGTTGACAGCTCAGCTCTGCTCCACCAGTCAGTATAAGAGAGCCATTGCTCTAGAGCAGGGATTTTAAACTGTTACCTTGTGGGCAGTGGGGCAAGAGGCATTAACACATTAACAGGTGTTAATGCAGCCATCATTTGCTGCCATTATGTGTCCTTAGTAAGGCTCTGTACCCGATTTCAGCAGCAGGCCCCATCCCTGCTTCGCCAAATTACCAGCCATTCCACTAGCTGTGTGGGCCAGGTGACGTGTTTGACACCCCGACTCCTGAATAGTCTTTGACATGCAAGACCAAATAGTCAAACCCATTGTATAATGGATGCTATGGCAAGCTCTCCTTTTTTAACCTGAACAAACCATTTCTGCATTTTAGCTGAACTTCCCCAGGCAGGACAGGAAGGCTGGAATTCTGTTTATATCCATGCATCTAGATGGCGTTTTCTTGCTGCCTACCTTGCTGGTTTTGGCCCTGTCTTTGTGCTGTGGTTGCTTGGTCAGGCTTGGTGCTCTAACCATCCCACCACAGGACAGGCATTAGCCAAATCCCCTTCCCAGTGCAATCTCTGAGGCTGCGCCACAGCCTCTTGCCTTTAGTCATTGCATAGAGCAGTCCAGTGGGAAGCATTCTACCCCAATGGGAAGACTGGATTGAGAAAGAGAGATGTAGGCCTAAAACACAGGTTTCTAGCTTCCTGAGTAGTGCCCTGACCACTCAACTACTGGGGCTGCCATGTGGGAGGGCCCTTCTCCAGAGTGTTAACATCCACTAGTCATGGCTTGCTGCATTTTTGAGTCATAGATGCAGTTATGAATCCAGAATTGCTGTTTGTATGTAGCTCTGTATGTATCCAGTCAGTACACAGGCTAGGGTTACCATATTTTCAGTCTCAAAAAAGAGGATACCTGTCAGGGGACACCTCACTCCAAACCCACAGCCCTCTGGCACTGCCAGTGCCCCTCACTCCCAACCTGCAGCCCTATGTCCCTGCTGCTGCCCTTTACTCCCAACTTGCAGAACCCTGGTCCTATGCTGGGCTATGCTGGTGCCCCTCACTCCCAACCCACAGCCCCCTGCACCAGGCAGCCTGGCTATGCCCCACCCAGGCAGCATTTCCCAGGTGCCCTGCCCCTACAAGCAAGGGCAGTGGCCCCTGGTGCAACTAGCTTGGCCATGCAGTTCCCCACTGCCCCTGAAGGGCCCCTCCACCCCCTTCCCCCACTGGATGGGCAGGCACCTTCCTTCTGCCCTGCCTCAGCTCTCGTGCCTAGACACCATCCCCAGCATCAGCAGGCACCTGCTGCACCCCGCCACACACACACACACACACACACCCCTCCCCTCCCCCCCCCCCACCCCCTCCCCCACCTACACGCACACATGCATGCACACAGATTCACATGCCCCACACCCCCCGAGACAGTCTCCAAGCCCTGGCCCTCCCGCCCCCCATAGACTTACCTGTATCCAGCTACCAGGGCTGCTCCCATGACCCTGCCTGGCTATATGCCAGCCATGTGCATACGTGCACACATTCGCATGTGATCCCCCTGCCTCCCATCGCCCTCCCCACACTCTTGCCAGTGGAGCAGGGCAAAATCCTGGACATTTGTTCAGATTTCAAAAAACTGCATGGACGGACATGGGAGGACTCAAAAAGAAGATATGTATGGAAAAACCCAGACATATGGTAACCCTAGTATAGGCTACTGTGCATACTCGGTCTCTGTGCACACGTTTAGTATCCACATTGCAAGGGAAATAGGTTTGTTACCCATACCTAAGCACCAAAAATGTCACTTGTGTGGCTAAAAACTGACATTTAGATGCAGAAAAGAAATAGCGCTCTACCCTCAGTGCCTAAAGGCAGTTTCTAAACCTGTAACTTTGTGCTCATTTTACTCAGTTTTCCTTTGTTTCCAGGTGTGTCAGCTGGTCTTTTTGGCACTAATGACAATGAAGCTGGAAATGAATGGATGCTTTCTAACCACTCTCACTCCAGCAGCATGCAGGAATTTATACGGAGCTGGCAGGTAATCAGCTGTCTCTCTGCTACCTGAAAAGACTCACAAAATGTGTCCATCTAGGGGTCACACTCAGACAGAAAGGGCCATATGTAACCTGCACAAACTACTACTTCAGTTTTCCTAAAGAGGTTAAATCAGTTCCATAAAAGTGGGAATATTTCCTTATACAAGTCAGCCACACAATCTTGGAAATGTACCAGTATTTTCACCATAACAGAACTGCATTTATTGCTTAAACTTTCTAAGCAAGTTAACCTTCAGGCTGAAACCCTGCATTGTTAATCTAAGAAATGAGCCAAAGTGTGGAATCCTGCAGGTTGCTTCTGTTAGAATGAGAATTGTTGATGAGATCTGGTTATCTTTGATGCACATCTGTTACTAATGAATGTGCTGGGCTCTCTTTCACTGAATACAGGAGCAGTAACACAATAGCAGATAACCCCAGGCCCCTTTCAGCCAGCCTGGAGCCCCCAGGAACTCTCAGCTTTTCTCAGGGCCAGTACTCATGGTAGCTGTATCTGATCCTTTCTTGCTTCCTTCTCACTTACCTCCTTTAGTCTGCTCACTGTCTCTCTCTCTAAAAAGGCCAACTTTCAAGCAATGCAGATATATGCAAGCAACCTGAATTAGTAAAAAAGAAAAATAATCAATGAAAAGTAATATGCAAGAAACTTATTATAATGGCATTAAAAAAGCCAGGGAAGCATGAATGACCTTTTTTAAGTGGTTGATGTCATAATGGCTCTGCTTATGCTATTGATTGCTACATTTCATTTGTATGCCACACAGCCTCTTTGCAGTGTACATTACTGCTGAGAAGAATTTATAGATGACTTTTGCTGAACTCTGTGCATTGCTTGCAGTCATATCCCATTCAGAAAAAGTAATAAAAAGATTGACTTGCTGATAATGTAACATTGACATACATCATGAAGTCAATGGACAGGAATATAAATATGCAAAGTCAGGAACTCTATCTAACTCTTAGGAACTTTATGAAGAAGTAGGAGACAGTATGGTGGACAATGTACCATATTTACCCAAATCCAAGACTACTTAAAATTTAAGATGACCCCCCCCAATAATTTCATTCCATGTATGGAAAATGTATACATTTGTTATAATTTTCCAGGTATAAAATCTCATTATTGGGGGGTTGTCTTAAACTCACCCTCCCTCCTCCCCCACTGCTACAGAGGGGAAAGCAGCAGCAGGCAGCTGGGGAGTAGGCAGTCCCCTTGCCCTCTGCCCCTCTCCCCATTTCTTCCCCTTGCAGCCTACCCAACCACACCCAGCACCTGCCCCCACTGGTTTTCACAGCCCCTGCCTCCTTATTCTCCCCTCCCCCCCCACCATGGTCTGATGCAGCTCCAGCTAGATTCTCTCCCAGGTAATGGAGCCCTTGCCCAGACATGCAGCAGCACCCCAAGGCTGAAGCTGCACCACTACTGACTGGCTAGGCAGGGGATGGAGTCTTCATGTGCTTCGTGCCCAGCCGGAGTCAGAGCTGAAAAGGAGTTGGTAGAGGCTGCAAGGGCAGGCAAAGAGGACAGAGAGTGCAGAGATGGTGGCAGGTGGCTGCTGTTGTCTGACTCTGACCACCACCTATGCTCAGATCCAGAGTCAGAACTGCAGCAGCTACCTGCTCCCCCTCCACCTTTCACTTGAATCCAAGATAAGGGGCTTTTTTACCTATGCTGAAAAGGGGGCGGGGGAATCTTGTACCGGATTTGAGTAAATATGGTATTTAGTTGCCCTGATAAAATCGAATCAACCTTTCCCTCTTACATGGAAGGTTTGCTATAAGCAATTGGTGTTAGAAGGAAGACAGTAAGATCAAGTGCAGGGCAGATATGGCAGGGTGAGCAATAGTTGGAGGCCAAGCTTAAAGGAATAACCATGCACTTCCTTCTGCCTTGAAAAACTCACCTCAGGATCCTTACGTTACAGTCTACTGGTGGTGACAATATTACATGGCTGATAGGAAGGAGCACAGGAGCTAGCTAGCAGATTCTTATGCAGTACAATGAGATTGTGCCCAGTATTAATGGAAGGAAACACATTTAACTTTAGTGTTGAAAGACCAGGGGCCATGAAAACAAGGGAGGATAAAGAGAAGGCTCTTCAAGCAAGGAGCTATGCAGGTGCCTACTCACCTTAGAAAAAGGACTGTTTGGGAGGTTAACCTGGCAATTAAAGTTCTCACTTAATATAACCTGAGTTTACATTTGGATTTTGCTTGAACATAGAGGGTTCTATTAATGGAACTAAAGCATTTAGGGCAAGTATTAATTTTTTTTAAATTGCTGATCTGATGCAAAAACCCATAAGCACTACTCAGGCAAAACAAGCCAATTAATGTTGCTAATTGTTGATTATGACATTGGCTATCACCATATTTGTGACTTGTGAAGAAGCTTACCTAAAACAACCATTGCAAAAACACATCTGTATCTCAATACGCAAAAATGTTTGTCATTGCTGCTACCTTCATCCAGTGATCATCTGCTCTTAAAGCTTTCTTGATATATGTTAACAAGGATGAATACACTGGTAAAGTATTGTCTCTCTTAGATATAAAAGGATCTAGAAAAAAAGGTTATCTTAATCTATCATTTATAATGTTATCAAAAAGAGACCTAGCCAACTACTTATTATTTCACCAGTCATACACAAAAAAAACTTTAATGAATCATAAAATCAATAGGAAAAGGAAACAATATCTGTAATCTGTAATATTTATAAGACAAAAGAGATACTTTGTTTCATTTATGAAGATTGCAAGGCACATCTTAATATTAATGAAACAATGAAATAATTATTCAGTGCAGTGTAAAACAATAGGTCTAAAAAGCCTTTATCTAAACTGTCTCCTGGTATAAATTAAGGGGCTTCTACTACATCAATGCTTTAAAAAACAATTTGTTTCTGTTCTGACTAGTCTTGTTTTCTCAGGTGACCAGTCAGTGCAGCCATGTACAGAAGAAAGTGAAGGCATGTCCCATCACAGCTAAGCAAAAATTTTGTAAAATGTTTTTTCAAGAAGCCCACTCTCCTCTCAGGAACTGTTTCAAAGTTGTAAGTAATACTAAGAATCAGCAGAGAAAAGTTTGAACTTCCAAACCACACAATACAAAGCTGTTAAAATTACAAGAGATCAAAGACTAGATTAATTTTCCATGGTGCTTTAGCTGGTATTTAGCAGAAATTCAATATTTTTTAAGGTTGTTGGTTGTAGCCATGTTGGTCTAAGGACATAGGTATGAAGTTCTTTGGGTAGATGTGATATTTTTTATTAAACAAAATAAAAGGATGTTTGTGCCTGAAAGCTTGCAAAGAACAATTTTTCCAACTATTCAGTAGGTCTAATAAAAAATATCACATCTACCCAAAGAACATTTTTAAATTCTTTTTTCTTTTATAATTAAATTGCTATATTTGCTGTACAGTTTTAAGTTACCTGACATGATTTATCCACTCTTGTTTTGCCAATGCTAATTCTCATTTGCATCTGAGAATTACAGACTAAAGGGAAAGATCTATTTATTTCCAAATTGCTGTCACACTTTTTGGGGTATGGGTTTGTGCTTTGCAGAACTGAAGATGTTACATACAACTTTGCTCATGTTTAAGGTGGACCCAGAACTGTTCTATACCATGTGTTCACAAGATTCTTGTGGATCCAGTGAGTTGAAAGCTGCTTGCAACTTGGCAGCAGCATTTGTCCACTTGTGCAACAGAAATTTTGTCCCCTTGGACATTCCTCCTCAGTGTGGTAAGTTTCATTTCTCTTCATCCTAAATATTCTACTTATGCTAACATTACCAAGTAACTTGTTTGCATGTTAATGTGGAAATGCATAACCCCAGAAACAGGAACACTGCTCATAATTTTTGCTTGTTTCTAGGCTATGGTTTGTCTCACTTCTTCCCCAGAATTCTATTTTGAATTTCACTTAAGCTTAACAGAAAAAGTTTCAAATTCCTCACTGGCTATCTTAATTCCTTTCAGGTTATTTTATAGTAGTCTAATCTGTAAATACTCTTTTTGCTTTGATCTTTTGTGCTTTAAATAAGTATTATCTATATTTGTGTTATCAGTATTCTGTGCTGTGTAATTTTGAAAAACACTTTCCTTCTCTCTACCTTTATATCTAGATTCATGTTATCAGTAGTCTGTGTTGTGTAATTCTGAAAAACACTTTCCTTCTTTCCACCTTTTCTAATGAAATCAGTCTGTTGTTTTAATCTTTCCTTAGAATTCCATGATTAAACTGGCTAATGATTAACCCTCAGCCTTATGTCTTGACTTTCTTTGAACTGCAGGGAAGAACAGAACCATCAGAAAAAGTGTTAGTGGAGGTCTAAAGCCCTAGAATCTCTGCCAAGATCAAGTGTAGGCCTCTCATATACTTCAGTTCATCTTACTCCTGACAGATTTACTGCTGAACAATTTTGGGAATTAGGCCCCTGGCAGACATTCAATTAAAGGTGCAATAGGGTCTGATGCTTGACCCCTGACAATCTCACTCCCTGCCATATTGATGATG